GGACTTCATCAAGATAAAAAGCTTTTGCACAGCAAAGGAAACAAAGCCAAAGACAACCTCCTGAATGGGAGAAAATATTTGCAAATGTTTTATCAGATAAAGGGCTAGTATCCAAACTCTGTAAAGAACTTATCAAACTCAACACCCACAACCAAAAAATCCAGTCAAGAAATGGGCAGAAGACATGAACAGACATTTCTCCAAATAAGACATACAAATGACCAACAGACACATGGAAAAAATGCTCAACATCACTCGGCATCAGGGAAATACAAATCAAAACCATGATGAAATAGGACCTCATGCCCATCAAAATGGCTAAATTTAACACCCAGGGAAACAACAGGTGTTGGTGAGGATGTGGAGAAAAGGGGAACCCTCTTACTGTTGGTGGGAATGCAAGCTGGTGCAGCCCCTCTGGAACACAGTATGGAGGTTCCTCAAAAAGTTAAAAATAGAGCTATCCTACAACTCAGCAACTGCACTACTAGGTATTTATCCAAAGGATACAAAAATACTAATTCAAAGGGATATAGGAACTCCAATGTTTATAGCAACATTATCTACAATAGCCAAATTATGAAAAAAGTCCAAATGTCCATGGACTGATGTATGAATAAAGGTGTGTGTGTGTGTGTGTATGTATACACACACACACACACACACACACACCGTGGAATATCACTCAGCCATCAAAAAATTGAAATCTTTTCATTTGCAATGATGGGAATGGGCATTTTATGCTAAGTGAAATATGTCAGAGAAAAACAAATACCATATGATTTCACTTATATAGAATTTAAGAAACAAAACAGATGAACATGGTGGGGGAGAGAGAGAGAGAGGCAAACCATAAAACGGACTCTTAACTGGAGAGAACACACCGAGGGTTGATGGAGGGAGTTGGGCGGGGATGGACTAGATGGGTGATGGGTATTAAGGAGGGCACTTGTCGGGATGTGTCCTGGGTGTCATAGGTAAGTGATGAATCGCTAAATTCAACTCCTGAAACCAATATTACACTGTATGTTAACCAACTGGAATTTAAATAAAAACTTAAACAAAAAACCCCACAAGGTGAACAAACCAAAATTAAATTTACATTTATGTGTTGATTTGTAAGTCAGGCGTTTAAAGTGACTAACCATGGGGAGCCCCATCAATTTAATGGGCCAGGCTCCAGGAACCTGATGACAGCAAGCTCCCTAAATCCACCAACAGTGATCATGGCACGTCACCAGGGAAGAGGCGTCCAGGAAAGTGCAGTCTTGTCCAGTCCCGCCTCGGACCACCGGCACGCCGTGATCTGGTTACGATGGTCTGGAGGACAGCAGTGACGGCCCCGTTCCATGCCTAGAGTCACACTGCTTCTGTCCCCCTCAGCAGCACTGGTGGGGTCTGGAAACCAGTACAGGCGGGACATCTGGGCTTGCAGGAGCATCCTTTCATTTCCCTGCGTTCATAATGCCCTTTATAATGTCTCTGGATGTGCAGCTCTCCTCCCATCTGGTTACAAACGTGGGTGTGTTTACATCCAGCCCTTTGACCCTCAGCCTTCATCAGGCCTACCAAACGTGGAGCAGCCCTCAATCCGAGTCATTTTTCAGGGGTTTTAAAGCCTGTGAATTAAAGCCCTATTATGTTGAGCCACTTAAGTTGATTTTACACTGATATTTAAAAACAAAATAATTGTCAAAGCTTTTAAATGTGAAATGCAGATATTAAGCTTGTTTTATTTATATTTATTATTATTTTTTTAAACCTTGTTTTAAAAACCTCCACATACAGTGTGAGTCTTTGTGCTTAGGTAGGGCCTGGCTCCAACTCGGAATGGTCTGGAAGCCCCACGGAGAAAACCTTTCCACCAGATCGGTTTTTCCACGCCTTCCTGCTGGATCACCCACGGGCCACGTCACCTGCACGGCACTGAGCCCTGCCACATCTCAGCCCTCTCATCGGCACAAAGAACGAGAGGCTCCTTTCTGGCCTGAAACACTGATGGGTTTAGGAGAGCTCCTGATAAACATCACATGCCAGGTGAGATGTGCTGAAGCCACTGCTGCGTATCACGCGACACACTAACGACACACAACGGCTTCTTGGCTTTGTCCTTCCCTGCCTGGCACTGACAAAGAGTTCCTCCCACTGGGCCTCCCCATGCTCACGTCTGCCCAGATGTCAGGAGAAATGGCACAGGCTTCCAGCTGCAGTTTGGACTCGGGACCTCCCCCAGTCCTGAGAACGGCCGGAGAGTGCTTGCCCCCAGTTCCCAGTGGGGCTGTGCAGGTAGCAGAGGGCCTGCTGGGTTAGCACAGCAGGCTGCATAGACAGTCACGAGGGCGCTCACAGTCAGCCTGAGCCAGAGCAGGGCAACGTGATCCACACAAAGTCAGCAACAATGCCATGATGCTACGGTGGGGCCAGGAGGAGGAGTATGGCAGAGGCGGAGGCGGTCACCTGCAGCACGGAGCTGAGCTGATCCCCTGCACAGTTACCCCCCAGGGAGTGTGTATGCTTGTGTGATTAATTCACTTCCTTGGAAAGTAACTGTTCATTCTTGTCCCTCTCCCTTCTGCACAGAACTTTGCAAGGACAATTTACAGACATGAGGGACTTATATTAGACTCTGACTTTGGATTCCACTCATGCCTGGAATACATAATAGGATCCTATAGGGAAAAAAAAGTTTTTAAAGGAACTAAGACCCCTAAATAATGGAAACTGCCAAAGTCTGTCTTACCTAGCCTCTCCTCTTTGCCTTTAGGTGACTGCCTGGCAGCCTCGGGGGTGGCGGCCTTCCTCGGGGCAACCACTCACCTCCTGAACCAGCATCATATCTCAGTAGGTGCCCATGCCTTCTGCTGTGGACTTCAGCTGTGGTCAGGGCTTCACTGACCCTGAGATGCCTACAGGGGAGTGTGCACAGCACCACACGGGGGTCACACACAGTCAGGAGTCAAAGAATCAAGGGCAGGCCTCAACCCAGGAGGACTGTGGACCAGGGATAAAAGGCACCTCCAGGTCGATCCGGCAGGCGATTCTGAGAGCTCCCTGCACGCTGCTCAGAAAGTTCTGGGCACAGCAGCGCTCCAGATGCCCTCTGTCATGACCTTGATAACTCATCCTTATACGGACTTTCCTGCTCCTCTCACTCTTCCGGTCCTTCATTCACACTCCCTGGGATTATTTCCCAAATAAGGCAAGCGTCAAGCCCCTGTCCCAATTGTTCTCTTAGACGGGACCAAGTTACAGTAACCGTATCCCTTTATTTAGTCACCAAATACTTATTGAGGACCTACTGTGTGTCAACTATTTGTTGAGGACCTGCTTGAGCCATCAAAGAAGAAAAAGATGTGTCGCCTTGCCCTCCAGAGCTCTCAGTCTAGCACATAATTAAATGTCACCTACCGAAACAAGGAAGAGATTCACATCCCTAGACGGTGGAAGAGGATTTTATGATCAAATTATTTCAGTGTCCGTTTAAGCCGCCTTCTCAAGCTAATTGGTGTCAGCTACCTTCCACCTTCCACACCATGATACTGGATTACCTATGCAAGGTTTGCAAAGTCTAATGACCAACTGACCACCTCTGTAGGTCTTTAAAAGAGGTTGGAGAGGCTGAGAGAGGTAATAGATTATAAGAGCTTTTTTTTTTTTTTCTGTGCTGGTGCTTTTATGAGGACTTCTGCCCATGGAGGGGAAGGATGAGAGACACTTTCCCTTCAATTCACATGAAGGAGAGGTGGTGGTGCTCTGTCTCCAAGCTCTAAGGACGTATCAACCTTTCATGAGATGTCCCCTGGAGCTTGAGGACCAGGTAGACCGGTGTCTGATCCTTGTCTGATTCAGGTCCAACTCCTCTGTCCTGCCAAGCAAAGAGGTGGGTATTAAGGCAAAGAAGGCACATGGGGTTCTCAGACCTCATGGGGGCCCATGAGACAGAGTGGTGGCTCAAAGTCCTGCACTGGAGTGGCTCAGACAGAGTGGTGGCTCAAAGTCCTGCACTCCAGGGGACAGCAGGAGACCTCAGCATAGAGGTGCCACCTTGTGCATTGGCCTGACAGGTCTCTAGCCACCAGCCTGCATCAAGGAATTGCAGACAAAGAGATTCCTAGTAAGAGGGGGTGGATGAGAAGGTGAAGGGCTGTCCAGAGACCTTTCAGTCTGGTCCCCACCTAACTGTGCACCTTCCCTTCCTCCCAGTCTCCTCCTATGAGGCTCCACCCTCTCTTCTCTTGCTGCCCTTGGAGCAAATCAAGATTGTTCTGCCTCAGGGGCCCCAGAGTGGCTCTTCAGTTGCTCTTCACACTGATTTGATTCGTGGAGTTTTACACCTCCACTGGCCTATGCCATAACTCCCAGCCGCATGCGGGCACCCTGCCCTTGAACTGTGGCTAGTAACACATGTTAAAATAATAATGTTTTGGACAAACTGAGTAGAATAAATATAGCATTACAATGAATTTCACCTGTGTCTTTTACCTTTTCGGTGGGGTTACCAGACAGTTTTAAGTTGCCTGTGTGGCCCCCACCGCGTTCCTATTGGGCGGCGCTACTCTAGACCCACTTTAGGTTGTCTTTTTGCCTTCTACCAGCGGACTGTAAGCCCCACGTGGACACCTGCGGCTCGGTTCGAGGACGCGCCTCCAACGCCGGCGCCTAGCAGGTGCGCGGTCAGGGACTGCCCCGCGAACGGGTGGTCGGTGCGTGAACGAACCGACGCTGCGTAGAGACGGGTCAGCAGGTTGGGGACGTGCTGATCCCGGGGGCATCTCCTACCGGGAACCCCGGCGCGGCCGCTTCTGCAGCTGGGGATCCGAGGACGCACCCCCTAGGAGACACCCAGAGTGAACCCGAGGTGCGGGGAAGGGGGCGCTGCGCCGGGGAGAGGAAGCGGGAGCGGGGGGAGAGGGGGAGGGGGTCCCCCCGGCCCCGCCCCGCCCCGGGGCCCAGCCTGGCGTCGCGCGGCCCCGGTTTCCAGGCAACGCGGAACGCGGACGCCCGGCTGCCCGGAGCGGGCAGACTGGGCCGGACCTTGGCGCGCGCGGGGTCTCACCGGGGTGACATGGAGGACGACGAAGAGGAGGAGCTCACCGCCGCCACGCTGCGGGGCAAGCCCCGGCCGCCACCCCTCTCGGCGCAGTCCGCCTTCAGCTACATCCCGCCGCGGCGCCTGGACCCCAAGGAGCACAGCTACTACCACCGCCAGGCCAAGGTGAGCCGCACCGGGGAGGGGCTGCACGGCGGGGCGCGGCGGTGCGGGCTGGGGCTAGAGGACCGGGGGGATGGGGGCGGGGCGAGGAGGTAGAGGGGGTGGGGGAGGGGCCGCAGAGCCAGGGTGGGTGTGGGAGGAGAGGCGGGATGGGGCGGGGCTTCACTACCAGGGCGGGGCCGGGGGAGGGGAGAATGGGGGCGGGGCTGCAGAGCCGGGGAGCGGGCTGGAGGAGAGGCGGGATGGGGGCGAGGCGGTCCTGCGGCGTAGTGGGGCTTGGGTGGAGCTGTACTGCCGGAGACCGGACTGGGGCCTTTCTGCCAGGGACCGAGGCTGAGGAGAAGGCCTGGGGAGGGTGGATGGGGCGGGGCTGCAGGCCGGGGCTACACTTCGGGGGCAGTCAGAAGGTCTGCGCTGCAACTCTGGCGTGGGACTCTGGGGCAGGGCTGCAGGGGGGGTGAGGGGTGGAGGGTGGGGGCCGGTGCAGGTCTGCGCAGCCTGTGAGGGCGCAAGGGCGGGGCGTGAGGAGACATCAGAGTCACAGGGGGAAGGAAGGTGGGAGAGCGGCCTTCCTCGGGGGCACCTGGACCCCAAAGAGTACAGTTACCAGGACCGCAAGAGTAAGGTGGACCTCCCCCTCACCTAGAGAGTGAGCGGGGGCTGAGCCGTCTGTGTGTGTGTGTGTGTGTGTGTGTGTGTGTGTGTGTGTGTGTGTTGGGGTGGGGGGTATGCTCAGCTGGAATGAGGCGCTGGGGTTAAGGCATACAGGGTAGGGTCGGGTGTGAGAATGCTCAGCCTGGTGTCCTGAGCTATTTGGGGGGTGGGTTAGGTCAGTTGTTCTTAGGGGAAGGGTTTGGGAGCCTCTGGGCTTCCAGAACTACTACCAGGGGCAGCAAGGTGACCCCTCTGCCCTGGATCTGGAAGAGGGTCTCGGGAGTGCCAGGGCTGTGCAGTGGACTGAGGCAGGGCTCCCTCTGGGGTCAGCCTGACAGCCCTCAGTGAAGCGACTGTGCCCAGAAAGTCATGGGTGCGGAAACCCCTGGAGAGCCCCCTGCAAACCGAAGATGACCATGAGGCAGATCTGGACAGCCGCCCTTGGGGAGCGCAGGGCAGGAAGCCCTCATTAGAGTCTGGCCTGGCTGCAGCAGGCACATGGGCCTCATGGGGAAAGCCTGCTCGTCTGTATAGGCCATTTTGAAACAGAAGCTGGACAGGAAGCCAAAGGAAGAGAAGCAAATTCAGAACTTGTCAGGAGTCCTCTACTCCTTTCATCAAGCCATTTTCCCTAAATGTCTCCAGTGTGTCTTGGGGTTCAGGGTGCAGGGGCATCATTATTCAAAGATGCTCAGCCGGCAGAGACAGTGAGTGGCTCAGGGAGGGTATAGGTGAGCCCAGTGCCTGGGAGGACAGAGCTCTTTCCCTCATGATGTGTGAGGTATTCCCACAGAAT